CTTGCTTCCTCTCCATTGACCGTGGTCCACAGCCCTGGCGAAAAGTCACTCCTACGTCAAGTCGATCTGAAGCCTCCTGGGCACACTCCCCCTGACGAACGCCCCCGCCCCGTGCGGCGTGTGCGAGCTGGGCGCGCAACGGGGCCAAAGGCGGCCCCCACCGTGCGGCGTGCGAGTTGGGGGCGCGCCACGGGGTGAAAGGCCTGCCGAGGGAGCCGACAAATAAGTTTTTTTTCTGTTCCCCCTGAGCAGTCCAACTGCAACATGCTACTTAAGACTAGGTTTTCGCAGCAAAGCAAGGCCAACTGAGTATTTAAATTTGAATACCCTGATCTGCTGTCTGTAGCGGAGCCTAGACTATAACTGATTCGCCTATAACTGATTCGCCTAGGCAATCCGCACCAGCGTCGGGCGAACCGGGGGCACCGATGGGCAAACTGTCCGGCGTGCAAGAGTCGGGGGCGTCCAGAAAGGGGGCGTCCAAGAGGGGGGGCGCAAATCATGGCCGGCAGCACGTGCGCGGCCCAAGGGGGGGGCCGGGAACGCAATGAAATATAAGAGGAGGCGCCATGAAATCTGGGGAGATATCATGGCCCCCGCCATGATGTTCACCCCCCCCAAGTCATCACCCCCCTCCTGGTCGCTCCCGAAAGAGATGAGGGGGAGGGGGGACCCAGAGATCCGATGTCATGATTTTTCCAATACGGGGTCCCCGGAAGTCTCGACCCATTCCCCGGGACCGGCTTTTCATCCCGAGCCGTCTTTTGACGGTCCCTGGGCCCGGCGAGGGCCCCCAGAGGCCGAAAGCAGTGCAAAAACCCTCCGTCTTGAGTTTTTTTTCGACGCGTGGGATCTCTGGGAGAGAGGGGCGCTCGGAAGCGGAAGACGTCCGCGGTGAGCGGGCCGGGCCTGCGGGGGGGCCGACAGCACACGCGCGGCCGGCCGCGCGCGCGAAGGGGGGGAGGCGGGCAGTGCGGAGGCCACGCGCGGAGGCAGACGCGCGGGGGCCTAGCCCGTGCGGCCACCTACTGTGCCTCCTCCCTCCTCCTCCTCCTCCTCCTCTCCTCCTCCTCGCTCCTCCTCCTCCTCCTCCTCCTCCTCTCCTCCTCCTCCCTCCTCCTCCCCCTCCTCCCTCCTCCTCCTCCTCCTCCTCCTCCTCCTCCTCCTCCTCCTCCTCCTCCTCCTCCTCCTCCTCCTCCTCCTCCTCCTCCTCCTCCTCCTCCTAGCCCCCTCACTCCTCATCCTTCATCCCCTCCTCCCTGCTCCACCTCCCTCTTTCCTCCTTGTCTTCGGTATCCCAGCTCTCCCGCACTTCTCCGAGCAGCCTCTCCCAGCCTTGAAAATTATCAATCCGGTATCCTTACAAAATATCACGTCGTTCTCTTGTTCGTCTTCCCTTTCCTTACACCCAATCAGCTGCGAACGTCTATAGCAGAACATCCAAACCTTACCAGAGGCGCTGAGGCTGTTGCTAGGATTAGGTCGGGCACACACACCCTACAGGCGGATGTTGGTTGAACCATTAATTATCCCGGCAAAGCAACCTAACTGCGATGTGTAGAAGCATATCTGGAGGCATTCCCCTTAAGGTTTAGGTGAGAATCCAGTTGTAGAATTCTGCTGTCCTCGCAGTCGCAGCCTCAGCCTGCCTCGGCTTGCCTCGGCCTCAGCCTCAGCCTGCCTCGGCCTCAGCCTCAGCCTCAGCCTGCCTCAGCCTCAGCCTGCATCAGCCTCAGCCTCAGCCTGCCTCAGCCGCAGCTTGCCTCAGCCTCAGCCACAGCCTCAGCCTCAGCCTCAGCCTGCCTCAGCTTCAGCCTCAGCCTCAGCTTGCCTCAGCCTCAGCCTCAGCCTCAGCCTCAGCCTGCCTCGGCCTTTCAGCCTCTCAGCCTTCAGCCTCAGCCTCAGCCTCAGCCTGCCTCAGCCTCAGCCTGCATCAGCCTCAGCCTCAGCCTCAGCCTGCCTCAGCCTCAGCCTGCCTCAGCCTCAGCCTCAGCCTGCTCAGCCTCAGCCTCCTGCCTTCAGCCTCGGCCTCAGCCTCAGCCTGCCTCAGCCTCAGCCTTCAGCCTCAGCCTCAGCCTCAGCCTGCCTCAGCCTGCCTCAGCCTCTCAGCCTCAGCCTCAGCCTCAGCCTCAGCCTCAGCCTCAGCCTGCCTCAGCCTCAGCCTCAGCCTGCTTCAGCCTCAGCCTCAGCCTGCCTGCCTCAGCCTCAGCCTGCCTCAGCCTCAGCCTGCCTCAGCCTCAGCCTCAGCCTGCCTCAGCTCAGCCTGCCTCAGCCTCAGCCTCAGCCTCAGCCTCAGCCTCAGCGTCAGCCTCTCAGCCTCAGCCTGCATCAGCCTCAGCCTCAGCCTCAGCCTGCCTCAGGCTCAGTCTCAGCCTGCCTCAGCCTCAGCCTGCCTCAGCCTCAGCCTCAGAGTTGGCTCTCTCAGAATGTAGCCTGGGAATCGGGAACACGAAGAACACGAAGTGGACAGTTGGCTGCATTCAAAAGCCGGGAATGGTGTTCTGGGAACACGAAGAACACGAAGTGGCCTACAGTTGGCTCCGGGCATTCAAAATGTGTCCCGGGAATGGTGTTCTGGGAACACGAAGAACACGAAGTGGCCTACAGTTGGCTCCGGGCATTCAAAATGTGGCCCGGGAATGGTGTTCTGGGAACACGAAGAACACGAAGTGGCCTACAGTTGGCTCCGGGCATTCAAAATGTGGCCCGGGAATGGTGTTCTGGGAATTCGAAGACCACGAAGTGGCCTACAGTTGGCTCCGGGCATTCAAAATCATGCCCAAGAATGGAGTTCTGGGACCTCGAAGACCACGAAATGTGCAACTGTTTGCTTAGAACGACTTCCGCGGCTTCTCCCCGGGTCCTGCCCGGACCCCCCTGGGGAGTCATGATGCTCTTCTGACCCCACTAGAAACCTATCAGTCTTCGCTGTTAGGTAAAAATCGTCCAAACATGTTCCAAACTTGTCAGAACTAGTCGAAAAACGGTCCCCAGTTTATTGTTTTACTGTTTTTGAATTTCCCCCCTGTAGAGGGCACACCCGACTGAATGAATGCTAGGGTGGGGGGGCAGCAGACAAAATGAGGCAATAGTTGTGATGACAAGGATGAGGGAGGTGATGGAAGGAATATGCTAGAAGGATGATGACCGAGGAGGAGAAGGAATGAAGGAAGGATGACCGAGGATGATGATGACCGAGGAGGATGATGACCGAGGATGATGATGCGAGAAGAATGATGGCCGAGGAGGAGGATGACCGAGGAGGTGATGGAAGGAAGATGCGAGAAGGATGCTGACCGAGGAGGAGAAGAGGGGTTTAGGAGGAGGTCCTGGCGGTCTCAACCGCTTCTCTCCTCCTCCTCCTCCTCCTCCTCCTCCTCCTCCTCCTCCTCCTCCTCCTCCTCTTCCTTCTCCTCGTCCTCCTCCTCCTCCTCCTCCTGCCCACTCACTGCTCATATATCCTCGTCCTCCTCCTCCTCCTCCTCCTCCTCCTCCTCCTCCTCCTCCTCCCCCTCTTCCTCCTCCTCCTCTTTCCTCCTCCTCCTCCTGCTCCTCCTCCCTCTTTCCTCCTTCACTTCCTCCCCTGATCATGAGCCTCTCCCTCGGACTGGCGAACAGGAGGTGTCCGTCCAGGGATTCAGGCAGCCACCTGAGGAGGAGGAGGAGGACGAGGAGGAGGAAGAGGATGAGGAGGAGGAGGAGGAAGAGGAGGAGGAGGACGACGACGATGACGACCACGAGGAAAAGGAGGACGACGAGGACGACTTGGACGACGAGGACGACCATGGTCTGGTCAAAGTCGGTCCCCCGACCACCCGAAGTCTCCCGAGCCGCGCCCAGCCGCGGCGACGGGAGCCCCACAGGAGACCCCCGGGCGCCTCGCAGACGCCTGGCCCCCGGGAGGCTCCGGGACGCCTCGGGTGTTCTTTCACGGAAAGCCTTATGTCGGGCGTGTCACCCTACAGGGGGATTTTCGACGAAAAATAGAAAATACCCCAAACATATTCCAAAAAGGTCAAACAATACTCAAAAAATAATCTCATACTATGTTTGGACTATTTTTTGATTATTCCCTACCTAGGCTCTGCCTAGAAGGGTTCTTACCTTCTAGCTTAAAGGGGCCGGGCAGTGCTACCCGCCCCGGGCGGTTCCCCCGGTCCCCTGGGAGCGGTTCCCCCAGTCCCCTGGGAGCTTTAGCTTTAGCTTAGCTTTAGCTTAGCTCTAGCTTAGCTTTATCTTAGCTTTAGCTTAGCTTAAACTTAGCTTTAGCTTAGCTTTAGCTTAGCTTTAGTTCAGCTGTAACTTAGCCTTGCCTTAGCTTTAGCTTAGCTTTAGCTTAGCTTCAGCTTAGCTTCAGCTTAGCTTCAGCTTAGCTTTAGCTTAGCTCTAGCTTAGCTCTAGCTTAGCTTTACCTTAAATTTAGCTTAGCTTTAGTTTAGATTTAGCTTAGCTGTAGCTTAGCTGTAGCTTAGCTTCAGCTTAGCTTTAGCTTAGCTTTACTGTTACTACTAATGCTGCTTTCCTAGGGGCTCCAACTCCTAGGTAGGGTCGCACTCGGATATTTTTTTATTTTTCGTCGAAAACCCCCCTGTAGGGGGACAGGCCCGACTTAAGGAAAGCCATGGACTGGGGGTGAAGAAGCGTACGGCTGAACCTAAGACAGAAATACATCCTTCAAGAATATGAGACCCTCCGCCAGCCAGAACACACCAAACCATGAGACCACTCGAAGGTGCCCTCCCCCAGGATGCACAGGAACATCCAACAGACACGAAGAGCATTAGGGCACCCTCCCCGAACCGACCTCGATCTTGTGCCTCGGTCCGACTGTACACCTTTCGTGCACTTTTGGGGCCCGCGGTGGAAATTGAGCGGCCATCTAGGCCCCCATGCTGGGCAAGGGCCACTCCCATGCAATCCTTCACTCCCCCCCCGCTTATTGCTCCCGCTTGTCCGTCCGCCCGAGACAAGGAGCGACGACGACGACAACCAGGGAGCGCCGACGGGGTTCAGGTGCGCGGACAGCGAGATCGTGGCGATCTGCGAGCGGTCACCCCACTCGGCCAGGAACGTGAGCAGCAGTGCCTCTCTCCAGAGCCCGGCGGTGGTGGCCGGCGGCTCCGCCCCCCCCTCACCTTCAACACCTCCTCGCTCCTCGCTCCTCCATCCTCCTCCTGATACCTCCTCCTCCTACGCGCTCCTCATAACTGCTCCTCTTGCCCGCTGCTCCTTCTCATGCCTCCTCCTCCTCCTAGCTGCTCGTCCCTCCAACCCCCGCCTCCCTCTGCCTCCTTCCTTCTGTTCCTGCTCCTTCCCTTCCTCCTCCTCCTCCTCCTCCTCCTCCTCCTCCTCCTCCTCCTCCTCCTCCTCCTCCCTCCTCCTCCTCCTCCTCCTCCTCCTCCTCCTCCTCCTCCTCCTCCTCCTCCTCCTCCTCCTCCTCCTCCTCCCCCCCTCCTCCTCCTCCTCCTCCTCCTCCCTCCTCCTCCTCCTCCTCCTCCTCCTCCTCCTCCTCCTCCTCCTCCTCCTCCTCCTCCCCCTCCTCATCCCCTCCTCCCCCTCCTCCTCCTCCTCCTCCTCCTCCTCCTCCTCCTCGTCCTCCTCCCCCTCCTCCTCATCCTCTTCATCCTCATCTTCCTCATCATCATCGTCCTCCTCCTCCGCCTCCTCCTCCTCACCAAGTACACCCTCATCCATCCCCTCTCCCTCCACGCAGTCCCGTGCGTGCGTTCCGCGCCGGGCCGTCCCCTGCGCTGGGCGGACGAAAGGGGGCTATGATATCTCAAAGCGGGGAGGTGACGACTCAGCTCCGTCCATTACAAGGAAAGCGCCCGGCGGCGAGTCAGCTCCTCACGGCGACAGAGGCGGCCACACAATTACCCACGGCCCGCCCCCCTGGCGGAGGCCGAGCGTGACGCGCGGGGCTCGCGGGACCCTGCGCCAGCCGCGGCAGCAGGGCGCAGCGGCTGAATGAGGGCATTCGCGCGTGGGGCGCGCGGCCTGCCCGCGCACGCTGGCCAAGGGGCGGCCAAACGCCTAACCAGTTGTACAATCTAGCACGGTCGCACGGCAACGGCTAGGCGTTAAGTTTTCAGGACCATGTCGATACTGCTGCTCGCCCTCTATCCGCGATCTGCATGCCATGCGCGGCGAGCAGCCCTGCGCAGAGTGGACCCGGCTGATGCCCGCGAGTGGCCAACGTCTACGGGTCTACACCGCGGCCGTCGAATATAGCCACTGGCCCTCCAGCCACGCTCCAGGGCCGACACCGCCATGGAGGTCGACGCACACGATGGGGGCGTGCTCCGCTGCGGGCTCCTGGCGGGCCCGACCACAACAAATGTTCCACAAGAAACCCAAACCTGAGACCACAGGGCGTCCATTTATTTTTGGTGTGCGAGCGTCACGCTGTCCATCGCAAAACCATCGAGCATCGAAACCCAAGAAACCCAGGGCACCCTGGAGGCGAGCAGGGTGTTTCTTGGCAGTGGTCTCCACTGTAACACACGACGACCGACAAGTCTAATATGCCTGATCGCGCAAGGCAGTGCAGCCAGAGCCCTCGCAAGGGAGCAGGGGCTGTCTAGCAGCGAATGAAATAAATACTCTGGCCGAACACGTCGCCCCCACAGCACCGCACAGCCACAGGAATAATTCGTGAATTGTGACGGTGCCCATCCAGCCTCGTGCAATGTACGAATGCCAAAGCATCGCCGCCGAATAGTGATGCCACGAGTTGCACGCTGCTTAGTGCCAACTGAAGCCAGTACGTCGAAATTGTGAATAGCAAGAATCATGTCGTCAATTCGGTCCTGGGAATTTGCCGCCAGCGGGTTGTACGTCGCAACCGTGACAGGCAACTGCATTGTGACGGCCAACCGCCAACCTACACGCAGCGCGCGCATGCGCCGATGAAGGACGGGCCTGCAATGGAGTGCCACGGATCAGCCAGCATGCATCGCATCTAGGCTGAAATGGCTGAGGATGCGGAGGAGGAGGAGGAGGACGTTGCGCAGCCTTCCAGTTCTCGGCAAGCCTTTGCAATCGCCCGCTCGCTGGACAGCCCTACCCTAGCTCTCACAGGGGGGGACACATCGAAGGGAGGTAAAATATCCCCCTCCGATTGAGGAAAACTCAAGACACCCCATCTATAAGAACTGACCCCCGATCCAGGGTCTGGAACAGCGGTCGGTTCTTACCGGTGAGTTATGGCCATCGTTGCTCTCCAACTCCTGAACCCCCCCACCCCCACACACATCTACCAGTAAGAACCGACAGCAGGTGAGAAATCTGAGTCCTGGCCGGTGCTTACAGGTGGGATGTCTTTTAATGTTGCTACCATATCCTATCTGCCCAGCTGGTCCAGGCCCCGATCCCAGAGCGCCCGGTCCACCCAGAAATACTGTCAGCCCGCGAGTAGGGAACAACTCCGGCAAGACCACGCGACAGATCGGCGGTATGATCGAGCCCTGCTCGATGGAGGGGCCCAAGCTTCCTACAGCCCCTTCCATGTTCCTCGCGACCCATGCAAGCCAAGCCGCTGAAAGTCATACCCGACCCTCATGGCTTCCAGCACCTTGCACACGCGATGCATCGTTCGCGGACATATCCTGGCCTGCCCTCTCATCCATTCCCTCTCAAAGTCCACGCGGGCACACGGAATAATGTGATGCTGTTGCTCACTTCGACCATGCCTCTCTGAGCTTTCAAACCAGAGGCAAGCGCCCTCTGACGACAGTGCAGGAAATTGCCGACCGACGCAGAAGAATGGACTTTCTACGACGGGGAGCTGCCCCAGCATTCCGCTCACTCCCCAGAGATCCGATGTCATGATTTTTTCAATACGGTGTCCCCGGAAGTCTCGACCCATTCCCCAGGTTCGGTTTTTCATCCTAAGTCGTTTTTTGACGGTCCCTGGGCCCGGCGAGGGCCCCCAGAGGCCGAAAACAGTGAAACCCCTCCGTCTTGATTTTTTCAATTCGTTGAATCTCTGGGTCTCTGGCTCTTCCTCGCAAGCACCCCACATCCAAAGATACATCCAGCAACGATTACCGATGCCTTTGTGGGAGGCGCCGTGCCTCCAGGAAGATCGGGGTGCAGAACTTGGAAAACGTCCGTCGAACAAACGACCTCTGCTCCTGCTGCGCGGTGTTAATCAACATGCGATGGGGTGCGCTCAATACTTACAGACATGGAGGCAACACATAACAAGGCAATCAACAACATGCGCATTACACTAAGTGGATCGCCGAATGCTCTTCGCATTCACAAGCAAGCTACCCCCTGCTCTTCCTTCTCCCTCTGCCCCGCTCCCAGCCGTCGCCGTCTGTCCTCCTCCTCTCAACCTCCTCGTCGTTGGCTAATCCTCCTTCCCTCCGCTCTCCTCCCCTTCCTTCCCTCCAAGAATCCCCCTACCCCATCCATGCTCCTGGTCGAGCACATCCCATCCTTCTCCTACTCCAGCCCTGCCTTTTTCCACCCTCGTCATAGAACACTCCATGGCATCGCGGCCAGTGGGCGGCGGGTGAGGCATCTAAGGGTGACTCACACTGCATCTGCAAAACATCCTACTTCTCCTGCTGAGATCCTGCCCTCCTCAACCCTTTCTGCTTCAACATCTCATCAACCTCTCCCCCTTCGTATGTCATCCTTTTCCTCCCAGTCCCTCGTCCAACTCTTCGCTCCTCCCATCCCTCCTCCTTCAGGAATCTGCTAAGGGCGGCGACGCGTACAAGAGGCCAGGATTGCCTTCCAAGAGGCCAGAGGCGTGACAGCAGGGAGAGCTTCTTTCGAGCACAGTGCTCTGCAAACCCTCAGAGAGGGGTGGGCCAACCCCCGGGCCAAGATTCGTTGTGCCCGCTGCTGGCAAGGCACAGGTTGCCCCCTTCCTGGCCGAACTCAAGCGGGGAGGAGGAGGAAAAGGAGGAGAACAAGGATAACGAGAGGGGTGGTCTAGCACGGGCAGAAGAGGAGGGACAGCGGCATGAATGAGTCGGGTGGATCAGGGAGGACCCCCACCTGCATCCCAGCCCCGACATATCTGCGCCTCCGCGCACCTGGGCACGAATAAACGGCGCCGCCACATACGACACAGATGAGCACGTGCCATCGCTGCCGCACACGGCCCCCCACCAGCAACGGTTCCCCCTGCCAATCAGGCGGTGCCTCGTCAAATGGGTTTGCGCGTGCTTGTCGACCCCGTGTGCGACAGGCACGCGCCCTCGACCGCTTCGCCCTCCCCCCCCCTGCGCGATCACTGACAGGGTTTTTGAATACCCCGGGGGGAGGCGTGTCTCAGGCCCGGCAAAACCTTTAAAAGAACTGGTGCGGGGACCATTTGGCAAATTCTTGGATTTCCGACGGCACCCAAGCCCCTGGCCTCATGCGGCTGAGCCAGCTACACCTGCGCAGACACTCCCGATGAGCTCACTCCTCTGCGAAGCACATTGGTTGGCCCGCACGTCTGGCTGGCGTCTCGTCAAACTTGATCGCCACTTGTCTGACACGTCGCCGAATTACTCGAACGCATCAAGAAGACAAAGAACCATATGTTCCTGCGTAGTGGACTCCTTCAACGCGTTCTCAACCTCCTCGAACTCCTGGCGCACACAAGTAAGACAATATGCGCCCGCATGATCTCTGCTTAACAGAATGAAGTACACACGCCAGACTTGATGTGCTCCAGAGCATGATGGTTATTGCCATGCCGAGTGAACCTGAAATGGGCGGGCACGTGGCCGAAGGCCGACATTCTAAGGCCGCCGACTTCTGCCAATACTACCGCCCCTGTTTTACTTCCGCTTCTTCCTGCTGACCTTTCGCCAAAGCCCGCCAAGGAGGGAAGGTACAGTTGAAAGCCTATCGATGCTCCCGCATGTATTGGTATTCTTTCGTGGGGCAGGCTTGCCACACGTGCACATGTAATAATATGAACGCGCAAGTTGAAACATAGCACAACCGCGCGTGCACAAACCTGGTGCGCAAATTCTCGTGCAACTGGACAAACTGCCCAGCGAACGTTGCGCGTTTTCTTCTCAACAAGTGTTTGCACTCAAGGTGTTTGGCTTGCTGTTCTAAGCCAGTGGGCTGGTCCGCCGAAGCTTCGCCCATGGTCCCGCTCGTGGGCGCCCTGTGGGCGCTTCGCTTGCCGAGTGGGTCCGCCGATGGGTAGGTCCGGCGAAGTTTCGCCACGTTCCCGCCCGTGGGCGCCCGTGGAAGCCTCGTGGGCGCCTTAGGGGCGCGTCTTGGGCGCCTCGTGCGTTGTGAGGCTTCGCCCAAATTTCCTCAAATTTCCGCCCGCGGGCACCCGTGGGCGCCTCATGGGGGCCTCGTGCCGTGGGTGGATCCACCGAAATTTCTCCACGTTGCCGCTGGTGGGCGCCTTCTGGGCGCCTTGTGGGCGCATTCTGGGCGCCCCGTGCCGATATAACTTGCACGGCATAGCTCACACCGCATAGCTTACACCGCGTAGCCTGCACAACATAACGCGCGCCACGTAGGTCAAACCGCTCAGCTTGCAGCATAGCCCACACCACAAAGCTTATACAACAGAACTTCCCCCACACAACTTGCACACCACAGCTTACACCACATAGCTTGCTCAACAGCTCACACTTCGGCAGTGCAATACTGCTTGGGGTCTAAACAAGCTAAAATTGTCACGCTGTTTTGCAGGACTGACGACAGTAGAGGCCTCCTACATAGCGTCCGAGTATATGGGATCGGAGGTTCGCGCCGCATCGCCGATACATCACCGATTCATCCCCGATACATCGGCGACGTTGGCGATGCATCGGCGCCGTCGGCGTGGAAAAAATCGGGCCCCGCATCGAGCCGCAGTGCCGATGCATTGGCGATACCGAGCGATCCTCCGACCCAATTTTCTCCGACCCCATGTGGGGGGCCAGAAACAAACGCAGGCGAGAATGCCAAACACACGCAGACCTCTATCACACCTTGACGTGACCGACGTTAAGGGGGCCCGGGGCACTCGACTATAGAAACTTGCGTTTCGTGCTTATTGCGGCTACGCACAAACAAACAAACGTGGCATCAATCCCACGAGCCGCGAACCGTGCCGAAATGACACGGAAACCGGTGACAGGTTACTCCTCATTGTCGGCTCGTTCACCCCGACACGCACACACAGACACTGACACAGACACTGGCACAGAGCAAAACACAAACACTGACACGGACACAGAAGAAGACACGCACACACACACACACCACACCACACCACACCACACCACACCACACCACACCACACCACACCACACCACACCACACCACACCACACCACACCACACCACACCACACCACACAATTCGGATCATGCGGGAAGCGGACCCGCACACCACACTGCGCTGAGCGTCGCCCAACGGGCAATACACAACAGATAACCGTCAAGATTTCTTGGCCGCCCACTGCGCCCAGCTGAGCAGCCAATCGCAGCAAAGCCAACCCATGCGGCCACTTGTGATGGAGCGTGGCGACAGCCCCTTTTATGCAATCCGAAGACAAACGACGACAGCGCGAACACGTGGTCAGCAGCAGCAGAAACAGAAGAAGCAGCAGCAACAACAGCAGAGGGAAGGGAGGCACAGAAAACGCCAGCCAAATGAAACACTGAATCCGTATTGAAACGCGCGGGTTGCCCCGCAGGAGAGACAGGCTGTATTCAAAGGTGGGCCAAGCCACCAAATCTAGCTGAGCCCAACACACTATCCAAAACTAGCGGAGCTCAGGGAACGAAGCAAGAAAGGTGGAAGACAGAGAGAAGAAGAGGCAGCGTAGAGCAAAAGCGACGCGGGGGCTCACAAATAGTAAGACATGTAGAGGTGCAAGTAGATGTAGCACGAATGCCAGTGGCCGTCCCCGGGGTGGGTGGAGGCCGAAGGGCGCCTTGCGCTCGACGACGCCACTGGCACCACCAGCAGGCGAAACGAGTCATAATCAGAAACACCACCGCCCACAACCCTTCGAACGCAAAATGGGTTCGAATCCTGGGGGGCCCGAAGCCCCGAAGCAAAGGCGCACGATGCAAACAACACATGAATCATATTTGCTCGCTGTCAGCGCTGAACGAACAATCGTTTCGCGAGCAGAACCCATCAAATGCTGAGAAGAGAAGAGAAACGATCTGGCGCGCCGCTGCGCATTGCGCCGCCCCCGCGACGACGACCAACCGTCATGGAGACAACGTCGGACATTAGAACCGCGCAGAGGACGAACAACGATGATGACGAGAAGAAAATTAACATGGGGAGCGACTGAGCTGGATGCTGTAGAAAGCACGCGTGAGCAAGAAGAAGCTCGCGCATGCGCGTGCCAATCGCCCCAAGTAGCGAACCAACAAAAAGCGCGATGATAGGTTGAGAGCGCGCGCAGGAGCGCGGCGCCCGAATGCTTCCCCGAGAAGTCCGCACGGGCGGCACTATAGTTTCGACGTGTCTTGGCAGTCGCGAAGACAAAGACCTCGCCAACTCCCCCACCCCCCGCCCCCCTGATGCAAAGCTCAGGAGACCGACAAGAGACGACAGCAATGGACCTCATCGCTGATGACGTCGCGTCGCTTCGCTGCTCAGCTTTGCATCGCTGGGGGGAGGGGGGGGGCGCGGGCTGCACGTTCGCCCTGGCGCGGCGGCAGGTTCGGCTACCGCCGCATGGGCGCCGTGGCATTTCCGCTTCGATCGCCTCCTGAACGGCGCAATCTGGGGCAGCGCGGCCATGTGCTTCCCTGCCCGGCAAGGGAAAAGACTGCCCGCCGTATCACCGAAGCTTTGTGAATGGGAACAGTAAAAGGGGCAGAAATCTGGCTCGGCGGCTCAATTCCGCGCGGTCGCTTGTACCGCGCGCCCCAGACCCTTCGCTCGGCGTCACGCAACTGGCAGTGCAGCCGCAGCCTGAACGGGGAAAGCACCGCGCAAAGTGCGCGCGGTGCAGCGAACACATTCTGCAGGTTGATTCCGCCACTCGCCCCAGCCAGCGAGGGAACGCCCCCTGCCGATGCTGTCGCGACAGAGTCGTAGAAACCGTGCAAAAACGGGTAGAAGCCGCGTTAAAACCGAACAGAAACCGCGTATTGTTCACATAGACGCCGCTCCGACCCAGTAGACATTGATTTATAATTCAAAACTTTTGAAGGTGTGCAGCGGCTTGTGTAACAAATACGCGGTTCCTACGCGGTTGTTGTGGGTTTCTATGCGGCTTCTACAACGAAGTAGCAGCGGCAATAGGCTTCACATGTAAAGCTGGAGTGGAAAAACGGCTGGCCAGCCATTTTCTGATTCAACCTTAAATTTCGAACGGGAGCGGGGCGTCGACGACGACGACGACGACGACGACGACGACGACCCAAGGCCGCCTCAGACGCTGACGAGACGGTGACGCCAATGGACGTCTCCGCACCGCGTCGCGTCGAAACATGTTCGGATCCATGTAAACGGAAATGTCAGACGTGCACCTGGCCGACACACTGCGTTGCCTAACTGGCCCTTCGCTCAGCGCCGCGCAACTGGCATTGCAGCCAATGGGGAAATCACCGCGCAAAGTGCGCGCGACGCAGTGGACGCGTTCTGAAAATTGGCCCCACGACTCGCCCGAGCCAGCAAGGGGGCGCCCCCTGGCGTTGCTGTCGCGGCAGAGCCGTAAAGACCGCGTACAAACCGGCAAGACCCGTGTTAAAGCCGCAGAGAGACTTGGTATTCTTTACATGGAAGCCGGTCCAAGCCATTACAAGTGTGTACATATATGTATATATAAATATATGTACACATACATACATACATACATACATACATACATACATACACACATATATATATATAACTCGAAACGTTTTACGGTCTGCAGCGGTCTCTATGTAGACAAGACGTGGTTTCTACGCGGCTTATGGTTCCTATGAGGTATTGTACAACGAAGCAGCAGCGGCGATGGGCTTCACATGTAAACCTGGAGTGGGAAAACGGCTGGCCAGTCATATTCTTATTTTGCCTGAAATTTCGAGCGGGAGCGGTCCGGCGACGATGACGACGACGACCGAGGGCAGCCTGGGACGCTAGCGAGACGGTGGCGCCAATAGACGTCCCCGCGCCGCGTCGCGTCGAAACGTGTTCGATCTACGTTAAAAAATGTCTGGCGCACGCCCGGCCGCTACACTGCGTTGCCTGACTCCCCCTCGGCGCCGCGCAAGTGGCATTGCAGCCTGACTTGGGAAAGCACCGCGCAAAGTGCGCGCGATGCAGCGAACGCGTTCTGCAGGTTGACTCCGCCACTCGCCCCACCCAGCAAGGGAGCGCGCTCCCTGGCGTTGCTGTCGCGGCAGATTCGCAGAAACCGCGTGCGAACCGGTAGCAACCGCGCTGAAGCCGCACAACATGAGCGTATTTTGTGTGTAGAAACCGGCCAAACCCTTTAACAATTCACATGTTTAAACTTTTAAGCTGGGCAGCGGTTCTACGCGGTTTCTAATCGGTTTCAACGGGTTCTCTACGTGGTTTCTACAACGACGCAGCAGCGGCGATGGGCTACACACGTAAGGCTGGAAAGGGAAAACGGCGGGCCAGCCATTTTCTTACTCAACCTTGAATATGGA